TTATCTGAAAGGTAATTTTATTTCATGAGAATGGCTTTATTATATGGCGAAGAGTAGAAATGTAATTTGGACCCCTGTCCGGATGCTCTCAGCCTGGTAACACAAAATGGTTTTATTTGTTAATTTGTCCTTTTAGGGTTTCTGTAGCCAGTATTAAATGGAGCAATTTAGCATTTTGAGGAAAAACAAACTCTGCACTCTCCAAGAATATAATTGAAAATTACCCCATACCCATGCAGGATAATTACCTTTCAAAACATTTCCCAGCGCTTGACATCACAGTAATGGCTTAGTGGTAGTATAATTTCATTACACAGGGATCACAATGGTGAAACGATGTATGTTGGAGGTTTTGAAAATTAAGTTACAATGAAAACAAAACCTTTTATGTAAGTCTGAAGCACTTATTTCAATGTAAAATTATACGCAATCTCACCCGATTTTTGTATGAATGTCATTGTTGGTGGTTTTTAAATTCAGCCACTTAACGCTTTGGTACTAAAACCTATCTTGGCACCCATGGTTATGGTGCATGAGGCTCCAGGTCCACAGTGATGTGCACTGGACCAGAGGCATTTATGTGGCCGTTCCAGCCCCAGTTTGTATGCATTATGCAGCAAACCCTCCGCCCAGGAACGAGATCCACCTTGCTGCCTTTGCAGCTGGGTGATAAGGACCCATGGCCCGTCGCACTGGTTGTTATCTTGAAGGCTTCTAGACTGGCTGTGACCTACGTTGAGCCTTCTCATTTAATAGCAGCAGCTTACAGTTGGGTTTTTTCATAACATATAGACCCAGAAGACGCTAAGCACTTACATGGCGCCTAATTCCTGTCAGTCCAGGGTCTGTTTCTCTCAGCGCATCGACCAACTAAAGACAAGAAACCAAAGGGCGGCCCCGTGAGGCAGCATGACATAGGGCCGTGGACCTCAGTGACACTCCACTTTGATGTCCTACCTCACAGAAATAATTAGACTTGATTTTGGAAACACAGGATTTTGGTCCAAGGCCTGGCTTTTGTTTTTGCTTTGTAGTACTAAGGACTGAACCCCAGGACTCTAATGTACTCCCCACTGAGCTCCATCCCCAGCCCAGGACTCTCTGCAAAGATGGATTCCTCGCGTCCTACATAAAACCAGTTGGGAACTTTTGGTTTTATTCAAACCCACTACTTTTTTATTGTGGTAGTAAGGCCTGCGAGCTTGCGGTAGGGGGTCTGTTGAGAATGAACACGCCGCTTTCGTGATGAAGGCTGGCCTCCTGCCTCTCCCTCGGCTATGACTAGGCCAACACCTGCTGAGTGCCCACGGCGCATGCTGTCCTTACATCTTCTCTGGGACAATGACAGGCGCTGCTGATGGCCTGGCTTTGCATACAGGAAGTGGAGGCTTGGAACAGGGGCAGTTCCATGTCCCACAGCAGTGCTGTGGTACACATGGGATTTGGGCCCAGTCTGTCTGACTTCCTTGTCTAAATGTCACACCAGTAAGTACCGTGGAAGGCCTTTTTTTTTTTTT